CACTCTGGGTGTGCTCATTTGAAAAGATGAAAAGCAGCCAGTCAATGTTTTGCTAATAAAGCTGCCTTGTCTGTGCTTCTTGTAGTTCATTACCTCAATTATTATGTTCAATTTTGGTGAAAAATGGCCATGCAGCCACACAGCAAAACATTATACTTTCCCTATGTCTCTACTTCTGGGTGTGTCATTTTCAAAATGTGAGAATCAGCTATTAAACTCTCTGCTAGAAAAACTTCCTTCATTGTGATCTTTGAAAATATTATCCCAGTTTCAGTGGTAAAATTGTTTCCTAGTGGTAAATAATTTCCTCAACCTGCAGCATTTCAGGGGTAGGGCTGCTTTTAGGATATATGGAAGGGCCACTGTTGGTGAACAAGTCATTAGGGGATGACATGGCCAATAGTGATGTCCTTAACCCCATTTTGTCTGACAAAGCCCAGGCATATTTGAATAGTTGTGTTCCCTTCCATGTCTTTGAGTAGTGTTTAAAGGTTCAGTCCATAGGACTGCAAAAAACCGGTGGACCGAACTGCAATTTGGGGTTGGTCCAGTTGCCGGTTGCCTCATTTTGAAAATCTTTTAAAACCGTTCAAAGACCGGTTTTGATCGGTTGCAACCGGTTAAACGGTCACGTGCGTTACATACCCTTGTAACCACGTTTATTACCTTTTATTGGATTTTTGTTTCATCCAAAATGGTTAAGAATTGAGAAAGATATAACCAAATCCATATTTTACCCGAGTCTCTAGGAGATGTAATTCGGTTTCAGTCATAGCTATGTCAAATCTTCATTAAATCTCTTACAAATTGGTAGAATGACGGATATTTACATGCTTTACTATTTTATATAAGCTGTCTATTTTTCAGAGCAATAATAGTCGAGATATACATGGTTTATATTGGTATAATAAATTATACGCAAAAAAACCGGTCTGGATCGGTCTGAACCGGCTCCATAGACTGCAAAAGCCGGTCTTAGGTGGTTCGGTTCAGTTCCCTCAATATCTGGGTCGGTCCTAGACTGGTTGCGGTCCACGGTTGCGCGTTTTGGGGGCAAAAAACTGGACTGAACTGAACTTGCGAACACTACCTTTGAGGGTGCCACCAACACACATGCATTTTGCAGTAGAGAAACTTAACAAATGATGCAGTTGAAGGTACCACCACCTCCATCAGTTGACAACCCAATCAGATGTAATCCAAGAGCTGGTGAGATGTCCTCGTTTTGATTTCCTACCAGCATTCTAATAAGATCAGGAGTTAATGAGTGCAGCCATGATGTTTGTGGACACCTTTCTGAAAATGGGTCCTGATGAGGTGAAAGTCAAGCTGGAGGACAAAGACCCAGCTTGTTAACTGGTCTTTTTGCGGTCTTGTGATCTCAAATCTGAAAGACCAAGACTGCAGGTCCAGTCTTTTGCAGTCTTGGTCCAGTCCAGTTGCAGTCTTTTTGCA